CTTCCAAATGGAACCATTCGGACATGGAAGGAGCTGGAGGATAAGTTCTTAGAAAGATTCTTTACCACTACCCTGTTTACTGAAAGAAGGGCTGAGATTATGAATTTTAAGCAACAAGATGCAGAGACTTTATATGACTTATGGGAGAGATTCAAGTTACTGCTGCATAGGTGCTTCAACAATAATCTTAATAATATATAGCAAATACAAAGCTTTATCAAAGGCCTAAAGAGTCAGACACACATGTTGCTATATGCTTCTGCGGGAGGCACAATTAGGCGAATGACCCAGCCACAAGTCAATGACTTAATTGAGAAGATGTGCATGAATGAGTACCACACCCAAAGGTATATTAACAGTTGATGCTCAAACTGTTTTATTAGCTCAAATTGAATTATTGAATAAGCAGATAGTTGCAAGTTGCTTTAATAACGCTAACGTGAGGCAGATCCAAGCACTTAAGTGTGATTTTTGTGGCAGAGGACATGTGAATGGAAGGTGCTCATCTGAAGGGTCGAGTGCAGAGACGCAATATGCTAATCTTCAAAAGAACAACCCTTATTCCAACATCTACACTCTGGGTTAGAGAGATCATCCAAACTTTCGCTGGAGCAATAATCAGAATCAAAGCGGTAATCATGCGGTGCAACAAAATCAACAAGCTCCTAATTACCAAAGAAATGATTCACAGTTGGAAGAGACCTTGGAAAATTTTATGAAGGCCACTCAAATTAGCTTGGAACAGGTGAATAAGAATCATAAGACCAAGAGTAGAAACCACGATACCTCCATCAAAAATTTGGAGACACAAATTGGGCAACTATCAAAGCAACTCGCGACCTTCCCATGTTTAAGTGGAAGATTCTCAAGTAACACCATAGATAATCATAAGAAGGAAACCTGTAAGGTGGTGAGGACTGATTTAGGTGTAGTAACTAGAGATAATGAGGTTAAAAAGGTGCAAAAGAATGACATGGATAATAAGAAAGATGAAAGCGAAATAAAGGTGAAAGGACTTCAAGGAAACCAAGAAAAAGAGAAAGTTACACTTGAGCAAGGCATAGATGAAAACTCTTCGGGGGTGTCATACCCTAATTTTTATCCCTAAGATCCCACATCTTTTTGCATCATCCGCATAGGCCATCATGTCTTTTATTTCGCATAATGCCCAATTTATCAGTTGAAATGAACTTGTTGGATTTACAGCTGAATCGATCAAACTAAAAGTCAACTGTGCGTAAAATCAGTGGATGAAAATTTATAAAATCGAGCATGAAAACGTCAATGGTATTAATCTATGTTTCGCGTAGTTTAACATGACGTGCTCATTTGAATTTTTTGTTTGCTTTTCAGTCGCTTTTTAATCAGTTTAATCCATTTAACCGGGGAAAATTTATTTCGAAATTCAATCATTTTGGTATGTCCATTTTATTTTTTCGAGCACTTTGATACCAGTCCAATTTTTCGTTTTTTTACCGCTTTTATTTCCATTTTTAATTAATAATTATTTTAATTAATCATTTTTATTTTTAGATTATTTATTTATTATATTTTACTTCATTTTTTACTTTATTTATTATTTTTAATATTTAATTTTGTTTTATTAGTTTCTAGAAAACTTGCTTAGTAAGTGTTAGAAAGTTGCTTTTGCTTGATACTAGTAAAATTATTACGTGCACATTTTAAGTTGCACATATGTAGCTCCACTTTTCATTTATTTTCATTTAATTGCATCTTCCTCAAGTTTTTGTGGAAGAGAGACACAATAACCTGCTGAAGAAAATTTTGGATTCAACAAAAAATAAGGATCCATTGTGTACGAAATGCGAAATCGCAACCGAAGAAACCTCTCTGCTGAAGCTTTTTCATGCTTGCATGTGTTATCACCGACCTTCATTGCAGAATCACAATTATAATCCACTGGATTCGTGTCTCCCGCATGTTTTCTCGCACCCATTTTTTATAACTTAATAAACTTCTACCTGTCGTACCTCAAAAAATACAATCCTCGCGATGGACGCGTAAAAAACGTTTGAACAGAGTCACCACCAAACTTTATTCATTCTAAGGAAGGAATAGGAAAATATTGATAAAACCTTTAAAGAGATAAGAACATGGCCATCACAACCAAATTCTAGGTTCGGGAGTCGATTACGCAAAGGGAAGGTATTAGCACCCTCTACGTCCATTGTACTCAACGGGAACCTCTTGATTCGATTCGAGAATAAAGTTAACTAGGGTTTTTGTTTTCTTCTAAGGGGAAAATGAGTGGTTTTTATTAGGGTTCTCACCAAGGATTGGGGCCCTTGTACCTACGTACTCCCTTGTGCAATGGGAAAGTCAGAGCATCGTAGTTCGTGGGACTACGGGTAAAGGTTTGAGGTAAAAAGAAAAAAGGTAGCTCGCTAGGATCTCGCAATCCTATGTCTATGTATTCTCATTGATAAATGAGAAATCAGAGCGTTCGTAGTTCGAACAACTACGGTTGGTTGGTTTGTGTTTGGAATGAACGAGAGTTTAGGTCGCATTCTAACTGCTAAACATTGGCTTGTTTTCTCGCTAGGGGAGGCTGAAACACGAGTTCGCGGAAGAAGGGACTAAAAAATATTCTTTGGGAAAAGTTGTTTGAGTTATAGATCGCACGAGGGAGAGGAATTAGTGATTTGGAGAAGTTTCAATCGCACGAGGGCGAGAAAAGAGGTTAGATTTGTTAAGTATTTTGAGGGAGAATGACGACTATTTGATAAATGAGACGTCAGCCTTGTAACCAATTAATCAGGGTATTATCGGAATGCTAGATTCCAATGACACCTTTTTCATTCAATTTATTGCGAAATTTTGAATGATCAATGAAATTACCATATAGAATGCTAGACTCTACTGGCATTCCTTTGTCCAAATAATTAAGGCGGTTATTTTAGGGATGAAATGTTGAGTAACTCACATCCCAAGGCGTGCGCCCCAAGAGCGGTCACTCAAGAATCCAAGGAGTGCGAGACTCCAAGAACTCAGTCCTTTTGCAATTTGATTAATAAAATACTTGAATGGATTAATATGTATTGATTAGATACATTAGGTATTTTGAACGAATCGAGTTTTAGAACTGAAAGACCGAAATGATCACAACTCAAGGCGTGCGCCTCAAAAAGCGATATTTCAAGAATCCAAGAAGTGCTAAACCTCAAGAATTCGATATCTCCATTATTAATCAAGAAAATATCTTTTGAAAATGTAAGTTTAAGTGCCTTAATTGAATTAGGGTTTTAAAAGAGGACTACGAGTTTTTAAGAAGAATTTAGTATTTTAGAAATGAACGACGGGACAAACACAACTCAAGGCGTGCACCTCAAGAGTGATCGTCCAAGGATCCAAGGAGTGCTTGACCCCAATAACCCATTACCTTCATTGATTAATTGACAAAAAGTCTTAGAATTACTAATTAGGATGAGTTATGATTTCAATTTTGTTAAGAAAATATTTTAGGGTTGAGTACCTCATTTAGACTAAATGTTTTAATTGTCTCAAGTATTTTAATTATCTCTTAGAAACGAAAGATGAAACAATCACAATTCAAGGCATGCGCCCTAAAAGCAATCATTCAAGAATTAAAGGAGTGCTAGAATCCTAAAATTCACTACTTTCGTTACTTAAGTGAAGAGAGGTTAGTCATACACAAATACTTATACACGAGTACCAAATGGGCAGATCGATTATTCACGCAAACGTGAGAAAGATAGCAAATTGAAGGATAATCTTAATATGAATTTTAATGTGAATAATCAAGTACACAAATTTTATAATTTATTTTCAAATATCTTTTATGCATAAGAAATTAATTTTTTTTCTAAAATACTATTTATGATTTTGTTATATTTTCTTAAAAAACTTCCATGTTTTGATTAAAACCTAATATAGTCTAAATTAATGGGCCAACAACCAAAGCCAAACCCAAATGGTATTTATCCCTACTGATCCAGCTCGAGCCATAGGGACCCGCTTCATCTCGCGGCCCAACCATCCAAGGAAAAGGGATAATGTAACGGTTGTCTTATGCAAACAACCCGTTTGGGAAAACGAGCATGAGAACACGCGTGTCCCTTAGGGGATATACACAACTACCTATAATGATGGAAATTAAACCTCTATGATAACCAAGGCTTTCCTTCATCATGAATCTGTTCTTCTCCTCTCACCACTATTAGTTTTAAAAACAAATGTAAACGACCTGCATTCTAAATCCCTAGTCTTCTTCTAAAATGTAACCCTAATCCCTCTTCTTCTACTAACAAACTCGTGAAAAACAAATCTGATTCCTTACTGCAATAAGCCCTTTACCAACTCAATGAAGATCCTTTAATCCTCGTCTCAACTCTCAAACATAGAGGAGCCTAAGTGGAATGAAGAACATGATCCTCGTTGGAACAACAACGGTCGAGATTTGGCACCAAAAGCAGAATATAACATCATAAGCTTAATGAGGTGAACAAAACACAAACCCTAATCTCACGATTCTACGGGATTTACAAAAATAATCATAAAGGAAGAACGAATTTCACAATAATATCAAGACATTAGTGAGATGAGAAGAATGGTTACCTTGATAAAGTGACGAGACCTCTGACCAATGTTTTAAAAATCGGACCGGTTATCGAACCAGTGAGAGTATTGGGTCACTGGTTTATCGATCGAACCACTGGGTCACTGGTCGAACCGCATGACTAAATCGGATTAAACCGGATAACTCGGTTGAATAGACATGTCATTATATACATATAAAACCGGTCGAACCGGATGATTCATATCATAAATTTCTAAAAAAATATAACTAGTACTTAGATTTTTTGAAAATATCATATCATAAATTCACAAGTTCATAATTTAAATTCAAATTTTAAACAAATGAATCACACATAACAAAATAATAGAAAATTACAAAATCTAATTGCAACATAATGTAATTGAATAATTTATAACAAAATGACTCCAATGTCTACTTAAGTTTAGTTCGAAGGAGGTAAAATTATTTCAATATTGGGATCTCCTTCTTCAATATCAAAACCATCTGCAGTAAAATCAATCGCATTTGCAACATTTTCCCCATCAATGATATTATTATTTTGGTTGTTTTCTCCAGAATTAAGTTGTTCATCATCCTCAACATCAACCTCATCCAAATTTAATTGATCTGTAACAACAAATAAATTAGAGAGTTAAACAATTAACATATAGTAATAAATTAAAGTAACAAAATTGTTATCAGAATAACTAATATCATACCAATATCATTTGACATAGGTTGAATTGTCATACTGGCAAGATCTTTGCGTAGTGCTTCCACCTCCTCAATGGTTAAGAATGGTGGTGAATCCTCCAACACCCAATCAGAATGATCACCAAGTATTTCAAAATTGATAGGATCATAATTTTGTTTCTTCTTGTTTCTATAAATCATTAACGATAATGTCAAACATAAAACTCATTAATATTCTTAAAAACTAGTAGTATATAACTAAACTAGCTTAAAAATTAATAATATGAAATATATATTAACATTGTACTAAAATGCAACATATTAAGCAATAGCAACAACCAAAGCATATGCTCAAATTCCTAATTAAATGTTTCCAAATCTCAGTACTAGTTTTTGAGATAGAAAAACAAATTAACAAGTTTCTACATATCAAGCAATAGCTAGTAGTATAAACAATATCATAAGCAAACAACATATAGTTGTTTCCAATTTTCATCATTCATAGTCATAAGCAACATAAGTATATAAGCAATAGCATATAAAGTATAATAAGTGCAATACTTGTTTTGTAGTTGTAAGTTGTAACGAACAAAGATAAGATCATTAAGCTTTTGATGCTCCAACCTATTTGTTTTTTTTGAATGAATATAATCAAATACACTCCAATTTCCTTCACAACCAGATGCACTACAAGTTTGGCTTAAAATCTGAATAGCTAACTTTTGCAAATTGGGCGCTTCGGTTCCATAAGTTTCCCACCATTGATCTAGAATAGTGCATGTGAAAAAATTAGAAAACATTTTAAAATTCATATTGAAATTATAATAAAATGCATAAAGTTTATCATCTAATTTTACCTGGAAAAACTTCATCTCTATTTTCTACGGCCGTTGTCCTTCCAAAACTACCTTCACAATTTTTGAATAAACTCATCTCAACAGTTAATTTAGTTCGCAAGTCCTTACTATCATAAGCATACTTTTCAATGACATCCAAAAGACCTTGGGTAGTAGACTTGTGTTTTTCATATTCTTGATTGAATCTACAAGATGTATTTAACCAATATCCAGTAGCATGAAGATTTTTGTGAAGTTGTGCATCCCAACGGTTATCTAAGATCCTCAAATAAGGCTCTACTTTCAGCTTATTTCTTCTAAAACTCTTCTCAATCTCCTCTCTTTCTTTATACATAGCTCGATAGAGATATCCCATAGCCGGTTTATCTTCACTATCAACAATACGCAACACACGTATAAGAGGTTCTGTAATTTTCACTATGTCAACACATGTAGACCAAAAGCTTGAGTCTAATACCTGTTCCACAAATTGCTTTGCCTTGACATCTTTGGAATAAGTTGTAGTTGTCCACTCTTTGGAAGTTACCATGGATCTTAGTGCATATTTATGAGACAAAATACCTTGCAATGCAATAAAATTAGTAGCAAAGCGGGTTGGAGCAGGACGAAGTATTTCTCTTCCATCTGTATTTTGTCTCATCAAATACAATGCAAAACAATGATTATATATGTATTTGGTAATTTTTGAAGCATGTGACACTGCCCCACTTACTTCCTCTAATTTCCCCATGTCTTGCAACATCAAATTAATACAGTGTGCTGCACAAGGAGACCAATACAACTTAGGAAACTCCTTTTCCAACAACTTTCCAGCAGCAACATAATTTGCAGCATTATCTGTAACGATTTGAACAATGTTTTCTGGGCCAACATACAACACTACTTCCTTGAAAAGGTTAAACAATGTGTCTGCAATTTTAGAAGCACCAGAGGCATCAACAGACTTTATGAAAACAGTTCCTTTGAGGCAATAAACTAAAAAGTTGATAAGAGTTCTTCTACAACGATCAGTCCACCCATCTGCCATAAGAGTACAACCTGTATCCTTCCAAATAGAACGATATTGCTCTAGCTGTATCTTCACGTCATCAACCCACTTATTTAAAAAATTACCACGAAGAGCATGCATAGTAGGAACTTTGTATCCAGTACCCATGCAACAAAGAGCATCAACTGCTGGTTGAAAATAAGGCGAATTTGCAGCATTGAAAGGAATAGACGCATCAATAAACCACTTCGCAATAGCAAGATCACACTTTTCTACCACTTCTTTACTTTGCATCACACTTTTTAATGTAGGTTGAGCTCCCGGAGTTGTTCTGGGTAAAAATTAAGTACCAATGTGAGCATCATTCTTTTTAGATGCACCAATTCGTGGGTGCATTTGCATTTGCAATTCACCCCCTCTGCATAAAATGACTCACTTTCAGCCACATCTGGAGTTTTTCTTTTCTTGCTCCGCTCATTAAGATATTGATTCATCCAAAAATGAATTTCTGTAGGAACTAACTTACAAATTTCAACATTTCCTACTACTCCATCCAAGTGTTGCTTTACCCTATGAATTCCACCTCCACCAAACGCTTTGTGACAGTAGATACAAACAAGATTCTTTCCATCAAGACTTTTAGTACAATGTGCCCAAGCTATATCAGTCTTTTGTCTAACATTATGTTGAACTAAATTAGGGGTTGAAGAAGCTTCTTATGATGGTGGTTGTGATGATGGTGTTTCATAAGATGCCATTTTCCTGTAAAACAATTCAAAATTGCTACATTAAAATACACTTTAGTCTCACGTATTAGCATTAAATAGTTCAAGATTTTCCATCAAAACAATTCAAGATTTTCCACCAAAACATCTTATTAGCATCAAAACAGTTCAAGATTTTATTTGCATTAAACATCTTATCATAGAACTACTGTGATAGTACAACTACTGTGATAGAACTACTGAGAAAAACATAATATATTTTTTTTTACAGAAAAGCAATTAGAATATTTACTTAGAATCATTACTTATTGCAGCATGTAGAACAAAGTGAAATGTTAAAAACAAATTATTGTTTGGTTTATTGTATGCAGCAGAGACAGTTAAATTGAAAATGCACAACATCAAAATTAGATCCAGAATATATCTGACTATCTGTGATAATATTTGAAATACACCTAATTATCCAGAATATATTTTAACACAAGGTTGTCTTGGAAAATGACAGGCCCAATATTCATGCGTAGTAGGAAAGGTTAAAAGGGGCAGGGAAAATGATGTGTAGATCTAATATGATGTGTGGTGTGCGAATCAGCATACTAATGCTGTGCGGAGGAAGGTTCAGGAGCAGCATGAGTCACCATTCCAGATGGCTGTTTGAGGAGCCCTTCTGTAGGAAATATTTTGACTAAAACAGAGGAAATGGAGATTGATCTTGATTAGATCAAAAGTATCAAACTCAAGAAATGGAACTATGGCAGATATTTTATTCACAACAAAGGAAATAAATGGATTTGGATTCTCCATACTGCAGGGGATCTAGATGAAAATAATCGAGAGTAATCTCAACCAATATTTCAAAGAGCAAACTCTTAACAAGCAAAGAATTCTCCCTCAAAAAAGGTTAATAGCCCATACTTAACACTCACCTACAAAACCAACTCTTTATAGAAAAAACCCAGCCTAGCCTACTGGTCATTCTTCTTGTAAAACTTCCATCTTTTGAATCCGTAAGAAAATTGGTCATTAGGTTCAAGATTCAGGTGCCTATCATATACTATTGCTTCCATGGTGAATGAGATGGTTGTAAAGGCAATGATGGGGACCATGATAAATAACAATAAGGCAGAAGCCTGATGAAGAAGCATGAAGTTGACCATAATTACAGCTTACCTAAGGTAATCAACTTAAGCATCAATGACTGATCTTTCTAGACACCTGCTCATACTTCTGCAACCTTCACTACCACCATGTCAAGAATACTACCATTACCTATTATGTTCTTGTGATGATAATTGCTGGAGAAGAGGAAGAGACCCCACAGGAACTAAGAGAATCTTGTAAGCCTATTATACGAAAAAGCAGAATAGGGGTCAACTAGACAGTTCAGAGTGTGTTAGATTTCGTTAAGTAGCAATATGTTAATCTCTCATTAGTAGTCTGTGTTTCAACTCTATCAATAACTCTCAAAACAAAAAGTAAGGTATGTCTGAATAATTGAGCTGTGACTGATTAATCTAGTGTGAAATGAAAACTACCTATTTGTAGGTATGAGCCTATAAGATAACTCAAAGTTTTAATCTTCTCTCCTTCATTCACCTACCTTGAGTCACAATGGTAAATGTTAGAGTGAACTGACTTGTTAGAAAACACATGGGCATATAATTTAAAATCCTTTCTGGGTTCATACGAAATCAATCCAACGAATATTGACCACTAAATTAATTAGAACATAAATCAGAATATTAATATCAAACATGTAGATGCAGTCCATAATTTAATCTTCAACAGAACAATTTCAACAGAACTACCCTAATTTAATCAAAAGATTAATATCAAACATGTAGATGCAATCCATAATTTCATCAGAAGATTATTATCAAACATGTAGATGCAGTCCATAATTTCAACAGAACAATTTCATCAGAAGAATAATATCAAACATGTAGATGCAGTCCATAATTTACTGTTGCAATTGCAAACATAGAAATACCCTAATTTAATCTTCAACAATTTAATCTTCAACAATTTCAACATAACAAAGTTAAATGAAAACAGAGAGGAGCATTAAACCTGGAAATTTGAAACGATACAGAAACCGGAATGGCGAGTCATTGGTATATTGCGGCGGAGAGAACGAACTTGCAGTTGGTGATGCGGAGAAGATAAGTGAAAACAACCATCGTGCGATGTAGAGAAAGACAAAGGCGCGGTGGTGGAGAAAGAAACGGCCAATGGTGTTTGATCTTTTCGAAACGACGATGGTGGTCTGCTTGCTTTGGTGGTGGTGTTTACTCACTCTGCAAGTGCACTCTGCGTTTTGGTGGTGGTGTTTTCAAAACAATCAAAACAATTTTTTTTAATTTTTATAACTTTTACATTTAAATTTTAATTAAAAAATAAAAAATGCATTAGAACCGGTCCAACCCTAAATCCGGTTTTCCCCCGGGTTTTACCAGTTCGATGACAAAGACTATCAAACTAGTTAACCAGGCCGATTATTAGGCCGGTTCTCGGTCTAACCGGTCGATCCGATTTTTAAAACATTGCCTCTGACGACAACTTTCCGGCTCCGGCAACGCACAAACGGTTCAGGTAATCGTGAGTTGCTTATCTTCCGTTATTTTTAGAGTTTTCTCCACTGCTAGTTGTTGCTGTTAGGGGTTATTAGCTAGATTTGGATGAGCCTCGGTGTGATACTCAGCGAATCTTAGGTCAAGAGCTTTGTGTGATGGTGTAACACGGTGGGAGAACTGACTTTAAACAATGTTGCGGATAGCAAGAGTCGCCACCGACTTTTATTTTATCCATAAGGAAAGGTTATAAAAGAACAGGAAAGACCTTAGAGAATATTTTGGGTCCGGGGGGTAGGTTATGAAAAGGGAAGGTGTTAGCACCCTTTTCATCCATGGTTATCCATGGGCTCTTAGGTACTTAAGCTCACTTTTGAATTGTTTTGAAAGTGTAGTGTGTGAATAGCAAAAAAATTTCAGAATAGTTTAATAATAATCCGTGTATGGATGTGAAAAAAACTTGTTTGAAAATTTGTTGAAAATTTGTTTAAGTGCGAAACAATTTTGAAGTGAGCAAGCACCTAGGAGTAATCTACCCTAATGTTTAAAGGTCTTTCTTATTCTTCATTCTTTCCTTTAGTAAGACTATCCCTACTATAATGGAGTAGGTAGTCCTTACTTTGGATGTTAAGGGGTATGTGAGGGACAATTTGACTTTGAAGGCCATTGTGGGATGTAATAAGCACATATAAGGGACCATCATCATTTTTCGAAAGGGACTTGATTCGTAAAGGCAACCATAAGGGACTTTGATGATTTTTTTATTTGAGGGACTTGCTTTATACACCCCACTTAACCATTATTCGTAGGCAACTTGAGGGATATCCTTAGGAAGTGAGACGGCGATTAAAATCGACTTACGTGTGTGACGTGTTTATTTTAATTATCTTTATTTAAAAGTGATCTAAATTTATTTTAATATTACATACATGTTGTTACACTCCCTAATTACTAACCATAATAATAATTAAATAATTAAACAACTTTACATCCAAGAAACAATTACAAAATAATAAGCAAAATAATTAAATAGCAAAGATAAATAAAATATAAATAAGCAATAATAAATAATAAAGGGGGTTAATTCTAAGTTTACTCGGCAAGACATCGCATCTTGTACCTACGTATCCTTACGGGAGTGGAATCAGAGTAATCGTAGTTCCCCTCAATAGGGAGGTTAGAAACTTCTTGACTGTGGTCAAGGTCTCAAGGGGAATAAACGCATCTTAAGGACACGCTTACGTGGAGTGTAGAAACTCCAAATCTCTACGTTGAAATGTTAAGTTGTAATTAGGGTTAAATTAGGGATTCCACGGCGGGAAACCCTAAAATGAGCGCGACGACTCTTTGACCTAATGCTAAGGGTAAAATTGTAATTTTGCCTGCGGCGAGGCATTTGTGAAAATTAGGGTTTGTAGTTTGTAGTTTTGAGGATTTGAAATTGAATGTGTGAAGTTTTACGGACTATTGGCGCGGCGGCCAAACAGTTAGACCTAACCTTCGGATGTGTGCAATGTGATAGAAATAATAGTAAACGCGTGAGATAATTGAATCATGCAAACAGAGAGATAATGTCATAATTTAAACCATGCAAGCAGAAATTTAAAGGCAGAATTTAAAGAGCGATTGTTAAGTTCGCGAGGTTACATGAGAGGAGCAGATACAATATGATAATGAAATTTGAATTGAACAATAATAAAATAAAATAAATAACGGTTCTAGTTATTATTTTAAAAAAAAAGATTTTAGTTATTATTTTAAATTTATCTAAAAAAAAGTTTTTCTTAAAAATAATAGGTTTTCATATTAATTTGGAAAAGATGTTAATGTTATTTATTTTAAAAAACAGATTTTTATATTATAACAAATTTTAATAAATTAATGATAACAATAATAATAATAATGGTAATAATAATGATAATAATGATAATAATAATAAATAATGATAATAATAATAATAATAATAATAATAATAATAATAATAATAATAATAATAATA